GGGTGCTTGGGAATAGCCTTAATTTCAAGACCTCGCGATGTCCGATTTCGGCACATTGAGCAGTGAATCGACCAATATGCTTTACGTTCGACTGGAGTCCATCTCCTGAAAATAATGCAAAATCCGGAACTTTGAATCCTCGTGAAAATTCCTCTTGATCAAAATGCTCCGGATATGGCCTCCGATATACGGGTCTACCAATTCTCCTAGCATGGGGCACCATATCTTGGATCATCTGCTCAACCGCTCCTCGGTCGATTGCTTGATTTCCTAGTAATGGATTATTCCCACCAAGATTATTCCATCCACCGACTCCGGCAAATTGGTTTATATGAGGCCCAGCAAAATTTGCCCCTGCCCCCTGGTGAACTTGTGGGCGGAATTGGTTGAACTGCGGGAGTCCTTGGAATTGATTGGCCGCCGCATATGGGTTATTACCCATCGGCAGAACATTGACCGCTGGAGCTGGGTTGCCCCCAGCCGGTGCATTTGGTTGAGGCGGATTCGCCCCAAAAATGTTTGGTTGGGCCTCCACTTGAAGCCTTGCCACTGGCACTCCATTTGCTGCCTGATTTTCATTTTGGCCATTTTGTTGGCCTAACAATCGATTAAACCTCTCATTGATCTGAGCATTCTGAGTGGCCATGGTTTGAGCCAAGGTTTGAGCTACGGTTTGAGCAATAGTTTGAGCTGCCTCCTGCATTCTTTGATTGCTCGACATTTCCATCGTACGGAAGAGTTGTTGGAGTTCCAACGATGTGGCCAAACTTGGTCTCAAGACCGGTCCTTCGGCGGCTTCCATAACATCTTCGACCACCACTTGGTCGAGATCGACGGCCGCATTTCGGCCAAGGCCATTTTGGCCTTGCTGATTATTCGGAATATCTTGTGGCTGAGAATTTGTAGGAAGTGAACCAGCCATGCTCGACTCTGATTCCAAATGAAGTCTAGACTCTTCAAATTCTTGATCTCTTCTAGGATTCCTCCTAGTGTTTACAACCATACAATTTTTTTTAATCCCACCGGGCGTGCCAAATTATGTTTCCCTCTTTTCGGCCGGGTAGGCCGACGGAAGGAGTTTTGGTCCTTCTTCTCTTGAGATGCGTAGGCGTGCCACCACCAAACCACTTGATGGCTTGGATGGAAAGAT